CTAGACTGGACTGGAATTCATTCAAACAAAAGGAAGGTATTGACGATAAACTCAAATTGCACAACAAAGGCAAAAATGGGTAAGCTGTATGATAGGTGTGTTTTTATGTGGGGTAGTCCTGGTAGTATGAAAAGTACACCATGAGACAATCCCCTGTGCTTTTGCAAAGAATGCATTGCATTCTTTAACATGCACATGGGCCATATTGCATGCAGGACCAATAGCTTGGGAATTTGTTTAGCTGAAAGATGGTGTACTATTGTAACTTGAATTTTCCCCCTGTGTGCCTGGGATAATTTATCGATCACTCCCTATCATTATCATTTATTGGTCTTGTGAATTATTTATTATATATATGCCTTATGCCTTATTTATTTTTGAATGTAAATGCAGTATTTTAATTATTGTCTCTACAAAATTTCCAGTAAATCAATGTTGGTTTTTTGTCTGACTGTACTTAGTGGTGTTTCTTTGTTTTTATAATTATGTTAAAAATTCTACAGGTTTTTGGAAAAGAGGGATTTCTTGGACAGGGCAAATCAACGGCAGTACGAGATTGAGAAGAGCTTCAGATTGGGTTTAAACAAGAGTACAAGGTGACCTTCAAAATGAAAGATTGACAAGATGCAAGATGGATAATAAGCTTCAAGGACATCAGTTGCCATGTCACCAAGATTGGAAATTTTAAATAATTATTACAATTCATTTACTATAGTTTCATTATAATATTGAGGATTCCATTAGCTAAATTACAGTCTATTTTTTCCAATATTCTTATTGTATTTATAAGACTTGCATATGATGAATGACTCTGCAAGTGTAATTATCAATGGTCACACTCAGCTAAGATCTAATTATCCATGTTAAAATGAAATTAACTTGATAATTAACTACTATATTTACTATATTTTTTTTAACGTAAAATTGTTCACTGGGTATGTACGATTATTTTATTTGGCTGCTATATCTTAGTCACACTGTTGAGTAAATAAACTTGATATGTATGGTATATCTGTATTAGTCATGTGGTCCGCACACCATAGAGTAGTTTTGTTTTATACAATTACTGTATGTACATTATTAAAATAGTAAGTTAATAAAGCACACTTCATGGAGGTTAAATTAGGTGTAGCCTACAGCCATACAGTAATGTTCTGGTAACAAATCTTCGGAGATAAGGACTATAAATCGTATGCCCAGTGTAAACTATTGTCTTGTATACATTTTAAAGGGCATACACGAAGTAACTCGAGCTACTAGTCCACACATGAAGCTCTGTCAGCATCTTGTTAGATGGATACCGGTGCCATAGCATTGCAAACAGTCTAAATTAGGTTAGTTCCCAGATTTTTGCTTGTGGCAGTAGATTTGTTATCATTGATTAAAGTTATAGAAAGTACTTGCAGTTAATAAGTTCCCTGGTTATACAGTAGTAGGATATTATAGAAACAACAATGAATGTTTATTAATACTATTTGTTAGATGGAGCATTCCATCTTTCTAATCATGAAAAAATTCTAGATATTTCTTTTATATATCAGTAAAGAGCTATATTATTATGAGCCAATTTGCTGCCGAGATTGTCTGTGTTTAATGGTAGTGCACAATCAAACCCACATGGTCTTACCTAATACCAATGCATTTCATCGACTAGGACTCAAAAACAACATGATGAATTCGGCAATGACAGCCATGCCATGCACCTTTTACATAAAATGGAACCATTAAACTAATTCTACATTCTCTGATTACCAATAAAATAGCAAAAACATAAGTACTGTTCTGTATGTTGTATATAAATGATTAATAATCATAAAAGAACTGCTTTACCTGCATCAAAACTGAGTGGTAATGAAAAAGTATGGTATGTGAATAAAGTTTATCTGATTTTTATTATCCGTATAGTTCTGTTGTATGATTTACACTACCTATGCTAAGAAGGTTATGCATTGATTGCTGTCTGCAGGATTATACAAGACTAATGAATGGTGTATGGATGTTATGGGGTGATGGCTGTAGCCAACCTCTTTACAGTTAGATCCTCTACAAGGTGACAATCTGATTAACAATTTACACAACTATGGAGGACAATCCAAACATAATCCAGATCCAGATGAACTCGAGGAAGAGAATAATGTGCAACTTTCAAAACTTTATTTTGAGGGGAGTCATGAGTCCCCTCAATTTGTCATTTAAAAAAAAAATACTGTACATATCCACACTGATCAACATGAGAGAACTAAAATTTATAGGTTTTGATTATAGCATACATGCACAGTTTGCAGTAATTTACCTTCCATACTGTAAATGTTTTAATGTCCATACATTCTTCATGAAGACATTTTTTTTTTTCAATACACTATATACTACTGAAGAATTAACATACAAAATCTTGACCTCAGAAGGCCCATTATTATGGCTATAATTTATTCAAGTATATTTCTGCAGGTCTGGGCAGGGGTCAGTTCCAAAATTGGAATACATACTTTGACTTTCCTATTTCACCTAACGTCTGGTTACACTGACTCGAAATTTTCAATAAAATCGCATACACTGCATAGGCTCCTCAATTCGACCAACCAATTACTGTAAGTGTCTCCAAAAGCTGTCAGCCGGGGCCACACCCAATTGCAGGTTAGAGGGGGATTGCAGAATTAAATTGGTACACTGTAACATTGTATAGTAAAATAAACAAAAAAATTATCAATATAACATGGACCTCCCATGAGACCTGACTTTCATATTAAGTATATATATAAACCATTAGATAACCCAATGTTATTTAGTATGTATACACATATGACTGACTACTGTAAAATCTGAATGAATTAGTACAATTGTTTGTAATGATGTGCTTTTTCCTGAGGGGGAATTGTAGAATTAAATTGGTACACTGTACCAATTATTGTATAGTAAACTAAACAAAAAAATTATCAATATGTGAAGTTAACTAATCAATTTAGATTTCTTTACAAGAGGCACCACCTTTAACCCTAGCCCAGATTGCTGCATCCTCTTTGCATTTACTAATACAATTAGGTAATAACATGAACCTCTCAATTACTGTACATACAAACATTCCATATATATACATATTTTTAGAAAAAAATATTACAGTATTTCTTCCTCATTTGTATTCCTCTTTTGGACCAAGCACATAATATTGGGCCTTGATTTCACAAAATTCATCCGAAAAGAAAATCCACCTGAAATGGAAAAAATAAGGAACATTATATTTAAGTTTAGGCCATTTTTTTTACTGAATATTCTGGTCTGAAACCTCTCTACTGTTGACAACATTGACATAGACTATGGGATAATCTATTATTAGACCTGACTTTCATATTAAGTATACACATCAACTGCTTTTACTACTGCTAAATAAAAAAGGAAAAATAAATATTTTGTTTTGGGGGACATCAAGTCAACGGTGGGCATAATAAAAAATAAGTTAAAAAATCTTTTTTTTCTAAAATCTTTTTCCTGGTAGCGGTAGTGCCAACTGGCCAAAAATAATATTAAATTTTGAGAAATTTTCCTAAATCAGCAGCAGTGGGTTTGAAAAACAAATTATAAAAGAAGTCTTGCATATGGTAAGATAAGTAAATGTAGACTCACTCACTATTTTGGTCAACTGTCTTCTTTTTTCGGTGGTAAAGCTAAGTCTTTCTTTTCATATTTTTTTGCTGATTCTTTCAGGGTTGCAAATAGATTCATTATGTCTGGAATCTAGAAAAGAAATTTACAATTGAAACTTAAAGTACTGTACAAATAACACAGTGAAGCACATTTTACAGGATGAGAATAAATTAAAAGAAAATATTTAAATTACACTATTAAAGATGGTGTTTTTAATCTGAGTGTGATATATATTGGTTCATCCTTGTAAATATTCAAGAAATAGATTTAGAAATCTTGAAATTTTATTATTCCAACATAGTAAGTGGCTGTACAATTGTATAGCACTACTGCATTCGCAGAACAGAAAAGAGCAAGACCAGAATTAACTGTTCATATCTAGGTGTGCAAAGGTGCATGCCCCACACACCCCCCCCCCAAAAAAAATATTCACATCCCTAGTCTCCCTCCCAAAAATCACACTGAAGTAGTTCATCTCAAATCACCTTATTCTGCATGCTAGTGCCCTACATCAACTCCCCACCCCCATTTCAAGACTTAGATATGCCACTTTTGAAGTTAAAAATAATGCAGTAAAAAAAAAAAAACAATAAAGAAAAGTAAAAATTAAATGAAGAAATGTGGAGAAAAACATGGCCAGGATCAAAGCAGTAAGTTGAATCTGTATGTGTGGGTGGGTCCTTGTGTGTGCTAGTTAGATAGTGTGTTTAGTTAGTTAGTGTTATTTTACTTACGTCATAATGCTGAGTTGCATAGATTCCAAAGACAGTACCAGAAATGAATCCGCCCTGAGGAGGAAACATAATTAAAAATTTGATTATGAATAATTTTCAATTTCTTGGAATTAAAAAAAAAAATCATAACTGTTCATAAACATGCAATTAGCCAAACAAATGCTCATTGGTATATATGCACTGTACTATGAGTAAAGTACTCTGACCAATTTATATACCGTAAAACATTTAGTAGAAGCGCAGTGGACTTTATTTTGAAAAGAAGCAAGTCCCTCTGGTAGGCAGAAGATTCACAAAGTATATGAGAAATGCATTGGAAATGAGGATGCTGGTTATATTTCATTTTGTTGTGCCAAAAATACAAAAGCTACATGAATGAAATTCACTCACATATATCATAGTTATATATATTGGAAATTTAAAAAAAAAAAAATCTAAAAAATTATAATTTTTCATTTTTGTCTTAATTCACTGACACGTTACTAAAAATTGATCAGTTTGCCTATTCATTTTTTGGTAACAACATTTTTTGTACATAGTTCAGGTGCTCAAACTAAACATGATGTACAGTACATTGAAACTCAAATTGAACGTGGCTTTATTAAAAATATTTTTGTTTATTTACCGTACAAGGTATTGTCAACAAACACTCCCTGAAAACAGCTCAAAAATGCTCAATTCATCCGAGCTCCAGGGGCCCTCACACCCTGGACCCACAGGGGCTCTGTTTCTGGACCCCAGAAGGGCCCGCTGACCCTCCCGTTCCCCAAGCCAACTGGTGTAGTCACGCAATGTTTCAAATCTCTCAGGTAACCAGCATCCTGATTTCCAATGCATTTATCATAATACTTTGTGAATCTTCTGCCTACCAGGGTAGGCGCCGCCAACGTTTCAGATAAGCCTAGGCCAATGTAAACACTGTAAAATATGCAAACTTCTCAAACTTAACTGTGTACGACATACTGTACTAGGAATGCCATGCCGGCACTAATGCACTTTCGCACCTTTTAACTTTTAATTCTGAATTTTCTAACCTCAATGTTCTTCTCACAGTCACAACATACAATTAACAAACATGTCCACATGATTCAACCACTCACAAAGTACCTTTTCCAACAAATAAGCCCGCAAATAAGTACAGCGAATCTGTCCGAGGTCCCCGATGGAAGAGGGAGGGGCGATGCCCCGACGACAGCAAAGTAGGTGTGGTTGAGCGTCACTTACAATGTTCCAAAAGTACTGTAGTCCTGGGGCAAGGTCAACAAAAATTTTGAAAATTTAGGGGTTTTAAAGGCTTATTTAATCAATTTTAGTGTCTACAAACATGTAGAAAATAGCATAATTTTTTTTCATGACGAATTGTGGTTTTTCTCCCGGAGAGCAGGGTGGGGTGGAGCACCTGAACCCCGTGGCCTCCACCTCTGAGTGCTAAGCTTCGGTTTGATTATCCTTGATTGCGACATGAAAGTTACCACATAATGCCACATTTTGTTGACGGATGTTTCATGGGAAAATTCAGATTCAAATTATAAGACTGGCTTTTAATTGTTTCAAAATTTCAGAATTGACTCGGACATTCTGGCAATTTCTTGATTGCAAAGCAGCAAAATTGTGTACAGCTCGTCGTGCTAGCAAGCGCGGAAATGCTGTATCAACCTCTATAAATTTATAAAGGTACTGTATTGTTTTTTTGTTGAAAAATGTACTTTTTGAGTGGTTGAATCATATGTAAAAATTTGTTAAAATTATGTGTTGTGACTGTGAGAAGAAAACTGACAGAGGCAAAGAAATTCAGAATTAAAAGTCAGGTGCGAAAGTTCATTAGCGCCTGCCATGCCTGGTGATTGGTGTATAACCTAGTCCTAGGCTAGACTTGATTGAATCTATCTTGGCCTAGGCCTAGCTACGCCACTTAAATAGTATAGCCTAGAGCCTTAGCCTAGCCTACTAGCAGGGCCTACTCTGCTAGGCCTAGCTAGACTACTACTAGGGCTAGGCTAAACTAGACCTAGGCCTAGCCCCTCACTGTTTTCAGTTTAGTTACCAACAGTTATGGGGGGGGGGGCTGGCCTGCCTAATAAAATTCTAAAATTAAGCTATAGCAGTATTATTATTAGCCTAAGCTAAGCCTGTGGGAAGGTAGGCCTAGGCCTATTGGATTCATTGTCTTTATCCTTACCATAAATCCAAAAAGACCCATACTTATAAGAGTCAATATTTGAGACGAAAGCAAAGCCTAGACTTCACGATACGACGACCATCTCTCTTTAAATAACCAAGGTCAGGAGGTCAAAGTTGAGCAATCGATAGAGGGCTGAAAAATGGCGACCTCCTGTGTACAAAACATGTCCCGATTAAGATCAATGTTTCGATTACCTCCTCGAAGCATATATCCGCTTATTACTTATAAGAGACTCATTTATAACCAACATCAACGTTTGTTTTCTTCAGCGTGTAAGTTTTCTCACTTAATCGCATGGCAAAATCATTTAATTAAGCTATCTAGGATAGGCCTAGCAACCAGTTAAGCAAGGGCAAGGCTACTCTATACTAGGAGGCCTAGGCTAGGCTAGGCTAATACTACCACTACTACTACTAGGCCTAGGCTATTAGTATTACAGTACTAGGCCTAGGGGCCTAGGCTAGGTAGTAGTCAGTTGTAGTAATTAGCGCAGAGGCCTACGTATGAATGTAGTTACTTATTTGCAGAGAAATAACGAGGAGGAATTATTTAACAACTTACAAGGCCACGAGAATGAAAGTTGTAGATTTGCGTCCGAAAAATTTTGAAAACACATGAGGCATTTTTTTCATTTTTCATTATTCATTATTTTTTTTATAAATGCTGTCCACAAGCCGCGGCATTGGTAATTTTACATTTATTCCCAAGAAACAATGCTTACAATCATAAATGTACACAGTACTAGCCTATAAAACAGATTCTTTTCTACTTTAGCCTCAATGTTGGAATTATATACCTGTAGTTTGATAGAGATTACGGCATCAGCGCAATGTAAATAACTAGAAAAAATCACTTGTTAACAATTTTGATACAGTACTCTTTTATTAGTCATCTATTACAGTATTGTACACGCTTCAGAGCACACATTGTGGAAATTGAACATACAAGATTTCCTATTGGTCAGAAAGATCGATTTGACCCGTAAATGACCTCAGCACTGATTGATCGACGATCATGGTGCGATGTGGCAGGCCTGCCTTCGCTAGGTGTTCGCGACGAGTGATCAGTGATGAATAGATCGTTTTTCTGTCTGTTTACGACTTAGAAAGTCCGTTTTTTAAAACGAAGTATATTTTTTTTCAAAATAATGAACTTTTCAAAATAATGAAAATTTTCGTGCGGTAGCTTTTTTGGCATGTGGGCGGTGGACGCAAATCTACAACTTTCATTCCTGTGGCCCAATGTAGATAGCTGTCTTGCACAATTTGAGTTGAGATGTATGTTTGACTTTCCTTTGAATTGCAAATTGTGCAAATTCTTCCTTTCTTTAACAATTTAAAAAAAAAACTTTGAGTAGCATGATAACGACTTTACATTGAGGTATATTTATTCAGTCTACAGTAAAATGAAAAGGCCTACGTTACAGCACATGGCTGAATTGTGAGCCATAAATTAAATGCGAGACTTAATAGGCCTAGGCCCAAATTCATACGTATACTTCCAATTTTCAATAAAAGTCTATAACGATTAATTGTGCTCACTTTTTTGCATGGGGTCCAGGCCCGTCTGACAGGGAATTTCCCCTGCTCCCCGTTGCCACCACCACTGTTCAGAACCCACACTCAGCATCAAAATGTATTTTTTGTACATTATAGTATTCTTCCAACACGTCATATTGCATTAAAGAATAAAGTTTAAGCTTAGGGTCAAGCCAGCAGTGGCGGTGCTACGGTGGGGCTGGGAGGGGCTATAGCCGTTGGGGAAATCCTAGCGCTACCACTGTAAGCAACTCGGATTTCCATAAACAGCATTTTTTGTAATATATGTATGTATACAACAGGCAAACTATAAAAAGATGTTGACTTTTAGTAGACTTTTGATACAGTTACTTTTGAACTGTTTAACTGCTTACAATTTGTAGGAGCAGTTAACGCAGTGGTTCCAACAGATGTTCCAACCCCTAGAACTCAAAATTTGGTGTGCGCCCGTACTGCAGAAATGTTGAAAATCAAGGTTTTTTCTATGCATCCATGCATTGTGATTGCAGCATATTGTTACAGGTGATGTCAGTAACACGCGGAAGGCCTTTGATTTGTACGCCAACAACGGTGGTATAAAGTCGGCACACAAAACAAAAATTTACACAAAAACACTCAATCACTTTTATCAAAAAAGCCTATCATTTTGGGTGTTTGGGGCTCTTTTCTTACAATTCAGCACGAATTATAAAAATTAGGAGACCGGGAGATTGGAGAGAAAACTCCTGACCAAATCAGGACAGTTGGAACGTTTGTTGCAATTTGGTTTTTAAAACTTGATAATACGGGCTTGAAACCCTTGCATTACACTAATGCAAGGTACTTTAATTGTTTGTCTCTCTGCACCCATTAGTATAAATCCTGGTACCTCAAAATTGGTTAATGTTTACTTTCTTAAATGTGGCAGTGGTTTTGTAAATTAGATGATTGTAAATTGTGAATTTCCATAGCAGTAAAGTTTCCTCAGAACAAAAAATAATTTCATATCTAAACTGTTAATGAATTATTATATTATTTCAGTGTCAGATGGAATAGACATTGGTCTTCCCACCTGTCCTCAATCGAAAAAACTAAAAAATAAACATAGAAGCAAGATATTGCACAAAATAAAAAATACACCAGAGTTGGAACGGTTAGCAAGGCAAAGAAAATGTAAGTATTATTTTAGGCACATTTGTCTCACTGTATCTACATGTTAGACAATATTTAAATTGTGCATTTAAGCTTAAATACAATTCATAGGTTAAAAATGTTCCAACAAAAATAAAATGTAGGAGCTGTACTGGGTAAAAGACAACTTAATTTCTTGCTTTGAACAAGGTATCCATCCGTAGAAGTCTTATGAATATAAGCCTATCCAAGTGAACATAAAAGGATCGGGGACATACCTTCGACTTTAAATTGACAAAGATTGAAAAATGTTAAATACAGACACAGTGTATACATAATAGGTCTTAATATGTAAAAAGTGTAATTTAAAAATAATGAATATGAATGTATGATGCAAGTAATCTGTTAATTATAAGATTAAGAAGGAAGATAGGGGAGAAACTTGGAGCGGCAGAAATATTTTTCAAGTATTTGGGAACGTACTGAGTATTTAGATAATTTTTATTTCATCAGTGGTGGTGCCATTAGATGAGGTTGAGGCAGAATGGGAGAAGACATCAGGACCATACCACATCAGAGATGTTGCAAAGAACTATAACATCTTCAAGGATCTCTTCGATGGAGCAGAATTCATATCTTGGTCTGTAATGAATATAAGTTATGATGTGGATGATGATACTGTAATGCCAGTATATTGGGGCAATGTAGTTACACCACAAGAGGTTTGTATTTTGTGCTGTTCAATTCTCAAATAACTTTTGGTACCACAAAATGTTTATGGTATCATATATCATTTACTTCACCAATATAAGAACAACAAAAAATTATGGCTGACTGGCCTGCCCAAAACCAACACAAT